AAGAATGGGGTGTGATGTGTCTTTCTTGACCAAATACCCCGGGGGTTCCTTGGTCTAACCAGATCTAAGGTAGAGTAGATCCAAACTTGGATGAGTACAGATCCCAGAGTAAATGCAGTTACAAATATGACTTTTATCTTTGTTCAATATGCAGAGAGGGCGGTGATTCCAGATACTTTCCCAACTTGGGCAAGAATCCCTCCACTGAGGAATGTTCTGGAAATCTGAGATCCCCTCTCCCTACCTGCACAGTCTGGTGAAGGTGGACAGCCACCACTTTCTTCATGCAGTCCTTGATCATCTGGGACGTGAAGAAGTTGGTCTCCCCTTTCTTGTCCACGGTGATTTTCCGGAAATCTTCCAGGAGAATGGGGCAAATGGCTTTCGTTGGGTGGGTCATGTAAATTGGCCCATCGTAGCCGACCATCTCGCTGAAGTAGGGGAGGGCCCCACAGTGATCCAAATGGAAGTGGCTGGGAAGGACACGAATCCAAGATGGGCTTTAAAAAGGACTCAGTCAGGGGGTTTCAATTTCAGTTCAACTCCACTGTGGTTTTTATCAAATGAAACTAGTTTCAGAATTGGGTTTTCTAAATAAAATACAATAGCATTAAAACTAATAGACCTTCAGCAGAGACTGTTTCCCTAATTGAAAATTAGTTAGTTAATTGCAGTTAAACTTTGTTCTACATCTCAGGCAGCACATGTCAAGTCAGCTCACAGGTAGTAAAGGGTGCTGGGGTTTTTTTTTGTCCCACCTGCTAAAACACAAAGAGGGATGCCCTCACCTAATGATGACACAGTCCAGGAAGTCAGTCAGCCTTCCGTTCTGAGTGATGTAGGAAAAATCAGGAAACCGCCTCTAGAAGACACAAAGGATGATAGCATGTCTGGGTTGTTTTTCCCCCCTCTGGCTCTCTACTTTCCACCTAGCTAGCCACAGATCTCAGGGTGCCTTGACCATTTTGAGCCAGAGATGCAGGAGGATGAGAGCTCAGAGCCCTCTCACAAGATGAAACACAGCATGACTTCTGCCTCTGGTCTCAGGGAGGCTGCCTAGCCTTGAGCACCCAAAACCCAAGAGGACTTGGAAGAGGCTCCCATTATTTTGACAGGGAAACCGCCATTCAGAAAGTAGTTTGGGAGAAAATTCTGGCCATCCCACAAATTTAAGGGGGAGAAACTTCAAAGTATAGATCTATTCTAGAGGGACTACAAAAGCCATCCCACAGCCTTTTACTTAGATGGCTGAAGTCCACAGGAGATGAAGCCCAGCCTTTCTATGCTCCAAACTGCATCTCCCATGGAGATTTTGGAGTAACCTCCAGCCAGCTCAATTAGAGTGCCACGCCATGCACCAATCCCTCTTACATCATCATTGAATCCCATGTGCATCCCGCAATCCAGCATGACGTTCTTCCCTGCAATGGACACAAGGATGCAGCTGCGACCCACATCTTGGCCAGCTCCTGAAAAAGCGAAGGGGAGGGAGGGAGAGAATAGACAAGTGAATTGATTTAATTAAAAATTCAGGCTTTTATTGATACTCTCACTGGCGCCTGTCACATTTGCATTTAATGCAAGCCAGGAATTCAACAGGCGAGCAGAAAAACTGATCACTGGATGAATCTTTCCCTTCACTTTTTTTTAAAAAATTCAACCTGTACTGCCTACCAAGCTTCCATAAAGGATGCTCCAGCTTCAGTACCTCGAAATACATAACAGAAATGTGTCTGGGCCAATCCAGAGCCAGGGATTCAAACAAGCCACCATGTTATTTAATCCACTGATCCAAAGCAACCTTCTCTAACCAGCCTTTCCACAGTGCTTAACTTAAGCGTTGCCAATTCTCCACCCTGCCCAAAGTAGGGTGTCGTGATTTGTGATGTCAGATTTTCCCAAACTTTGGAAGGAGACTCTCTTAGGGCAGAGTTCCCATTTTTCCTGACCCCAAAAGGAATTATTACCCAGGGGGGTGACTTTTATTTCAGGCATCCCGCAAGGAAGGCGGCTCCCCAAGGCTCTGCAGCGATCACCGTCTCGGCATTACCGGCGAGCAGGACCAAATTTTCCTAAAGAGAAGCAAAAGATGGTGCTGAGCCATGCAAGCAAGGAGGAAAAAGAAAATCTTTATTCTCTGGAATAAGTTACTGCAAAGGCCAGAGGCCAGTACCCGTGGGCCAGGTCTGGACTACAGTTCCCATCGCCCCCAGTGTTGCATGCCCATGCACGCAGATACAAGTCCTAAAGGGGGTGGACCCCCATTGTTTAACATACCTCCCCAGGCGGCCTGGGGATGCTGGGAACTGTAGTCCAACCTGGAAAGGTGGCGAGCCGTCGCTACTACGCCTGTAACAAGCAACCACCCTTCCCGCTACTCGCCTGACTCCCAAGCCCATCGCGCGCAACACCCGTGGAGTGGCGCGCATGCGCAACACCGCCTCCTTGGTATATAGATAAAGGAAAAGGGTAGATTGCCGCACAGATCCTTTTCTTCCGGGTCCAGAAGGGAAAAAAAAGCGCCTCTGCAGCAAAGAGATGGCCTCACTCGGCCTCTCCCCAGTTAAATCAGACGGCTCTGCCCTAAAACTGGAATCATAACACGGAAGTCAGGCGAATCCAAGAAGAGGCGAGTCTAATTTTTCATTATTATTTCTAGAAGAGAGACGAGGGAAGCCCGCTGAGAGCTAACGCATGCGTATCGCGGACCCGCGTTCCCGGAAGCGCGAGCTGCCCAGCAGCTTCTGAGCCCTCATTGGCCGGCAGTTGCAAAAGCCGGCCAGCGGGGAGCCTATTGGCTAGCGGGAGCAGGAGGCGGGCAGCACGGAGCCGAGGAGAGCTCCTATTGGCGGCTCTGAGGAAGCGGCTGGCTGAAGCGGGGAAGGACGAAGGGGTTGCTAAGGTGAGTGAAGCGCCGGGCTGGGGAGGGGAGGGGAGGGAAGCCCCCTGGGAAGGAGGAGGAGGAGAAGCCCCTCCCCTTGCAGGGCTGGGCGGGGCTAAACCTTGGGAGTGGGGGAGACCTAGAGAGTGGGGGGGGGGCTTCTGCAGCCCACCGGGGAGGTCTTAGCACGGGGTTCAGATCTAGCACAGTGATCACAAGAGGGTTAACAACAACAACAACAACAACAAGCATCCTTCTGTCCCATCCCTCAATCCTAGACAAAGTTCTGGGTTCAAAACAAGCCAGGATGCTGAGTTCTTGGCACGCTTTTCCTAGGAATCATTGGGCATTTTGAGACTTGGGTCCGCTTAGCGGCCAGAACCAAATGGGCTTATTCACTGGCTTCGGATTCTCCGCTGGTTATTCAAGAGCAGCAGGGTGGAATTTGACCTGGGAATTCTAGTTTCCGCTTAAACATTCATCAGAAAAGGACCAGAAGGCGGGTGGAAAATCCCGTCGGGCTGGATTCGTCCCACGGAGTTAGTGGAGGATCAGCTGGGCCGGCCCAGGATCGCCCCGGGCTCTCTCTCTTCCCCTGTGGAAAGCTCTCCCTGCCTGGGATCTGAGCGACACCCGTGGACCCTGCCCTGGGCGAAGAGGCCGTTGCCTTTGGGACCCCACGCAAGGCCCCACGGGTCTTAATCTGGGCTAATGGGGGAGAACAGGGAGGGGTTAAGATTTAACCCAGTCGCTTGGATCTGGCCAGCTGCCAGGACTAAAACCAACTAATATATTTGTTATATATTAGAAAAAAGCACTGCTTCATACGACAGCTGGTTCTCGACCTACCACCGTTCGTTTTGCGGCCGCTCAAAGCTGGAAAAAGCGACTTAGGACCCTTTCCCACACTTAACGACCGTTGCAGCCTCTCCTTGGTCACGTAATCAGAGTCCGGACACCTGGCCACCGACTCATAATTTATGGACCGTTTCAGTGTCCCGGGTGTCACGTGACCGATCCCCCTTTTTGCGACCTTTCTGACGAGGAGAGCCAATGGGGGGGGGGAGCCAGGTTCACTTAACAACCGTGCCAACTGAATTAACCAACTGCAGGGATTCACTTCACGAAACGGAGGGCAACTGGCTTGACAGCTGCCTTGCTTAGCCACGGGAAGTTGGGGCTTAGTTGTGCTTGTCAGTCAAGGGCTACCTGTACCAAGGCAGGACTGCTTTTTCAAGCAATTCTTTGGAGTCTGAAGTCATTGTAAAGGGGGGGGGGATGAGGGGGGGGGAAGACAAGCTAGACCGGCTCAACCTGCTAAACACTGATGGGTAATTCCACTCCTGCCCCCCACCCACCCACTCCCCCCCACAAAACAAACACATCCTTTTAAACTGGAAGGGGATCGCTCTGCCCTAATAAGTAGGATGTTTGGACAGCCTGGATCACCCTCCCGTCACCACGCCCGTCCCTCTCGGTGACTCTTCAGAATTCGGTTTCGTTCTCACCGAGGGCCAGGAGTCTCTTTTCTAGACTATTACGACCGATCGCAGAAAGATCTTCTAACCTGGAGGTTCCCCCCCGAGGCTCTTTCCCATCTGCCTGGAGTCTCCTCCGCTTTCCAAGCTTTTCACCATGGCTGACGGCGAGGACGTTCACGGCTTGAAAGGGGTGCTGGTCACCTTCCAGAGGTGTCTGAACAGCAAGGGAGAAATCCTCGTGGACCCGTATTTAGGAGGCTGGAAAGGACTCGTCAGGTGAGCTGCGTCCCCTGCTTTGACCTGGGCTCAGAATGCCCAGCCCGTTCTGAAGCTGAGGAGGAAAATAAAATTGTGGGATGAGAATACGTTAGAGAAGCCAGTGAGAAAATGAGGCTGTTTTCTATATTAGAGGCTAAAGAAGGTCATTTGAGGAAACCATAGGTGAATTAGCCAGAAAAGAAGCAGGTCACGTGAACAAAACCACCGCTGACCCAATTAAAAATGGGTTCAAACCTCAGCTTTGGATTCTGTAATCTTCGGTTTTAAAAGGGGATGGGAAATTAAAGTTAGCGACCGATCATTCTGTCATGCTCTGTACTGTCAAACCGTCAGCTTACCTGACAACTTTTTAGTTCAGACCTCACCCCATGAGAGATGAATAGAATAGAATAGAATAGAATGCAGAATAGAATAGATTGTAGAATAGAATAGAATGCAGAATAGAATA